ACCCAAAACTTTTCATGTATATTCTGGTCACTGGAATGCATATATACCATCCAAATAAACTGGAATGAATTACAATCTTTTGCAGCAGAGTTGTTTCTGCTTCTCAGAAAATTCAGTTCACAGATTTCCCTCTGTAGCCCTCACACCTTTTCAAAACTATTTTCAGAGAACAGAAAAGAGGGCAAAAAATCTGAATCGATAACTTCCTGCTAATGAAAGGAACATTTCTGTTTTTGACAGATCCAATCCTTTGTTTTAAACCCATTTGTTTTTTTTTCCCCTTGAATTCTTTTTCTTAGCAATCAGTGAAAATGGAAGTTTTTTTTTAATGCAACTAATGAATAAACTTTACTGCTTTTCAAAATCAGGTGGGTTTAGATGGCAACATACCATTACCTGTGCAATGCAGTCTTTAAGTTCTTTTTGAAGTCCCAGGCAGTGTAGGTTTTTTCCCCCCCCTCTTCCGGCTTTGCTATAAATGTTTGCTCCAACAAACTTGGGGTTCAGGAACTTTGGGGGGGGGTTATTCCTATCTGGATAAAGTAAAGACAGTTTTATTAAAAGTAGTGTTGCTGCAAATTAACAGAGCTGCTCCAACATCCCTAGGATATTGCATAAAGGAAGACAAAAGCAGTTGGTTATTTAAGCAAATTATCTTGGCTTGAAGGAGCAAGAAGGCAAGCAAAATGAATTTTCTTCACTTCTAGGGCCAAAGTTCTAGCTCAGTGCCAGAGACTGAAGTGGTGATTTCTCCAAAACAACTGGCTTAACTTTTCCACTATTCTGAAAGCTTGTTTGCATTCCAAGTGCCATCTGAAGATGATCATGTGCAACCATTTCAATATTTTTAATGAGGATCGTTTGGTCTCGCTTTTTATTTTTTAACTTTTAATGTACAGCATTTGGAGACTGCTACACTTGAGTAGATTTGTTCAGAACGCAGAAAAATTAAAAGGGCCCTTTCCAGCAGCCTGTACGAAAGGAATCAGTAAAGAAGCTGGAGAAGAGAAAGTTCAGTCTACAATGTTCAGTCTAGTAAATCAAAGAGAAGCAAAAAAAAAAAAAAAAAAAAAAAAAAATGTATCAGTGCTACACCCCAAACATGAAAAGAAGACATTTCTCCACCAAATGGGTATTGAATTCTCTCTTATAATGGACTTAGTAACCTGAGTGTTAAAAAGCAAAAGAACTCAATCCTAAAATTGTTTGGTTATTTAAACCAGTTTCTGCATTGTACAATTGGTTTCTCACCAAGCTAGTTTTCAGAAAGCCATACTGGAGGCAATCAGAATGCAATCAGATTCTGGAATAGCATGCCATTACATATTGCACAGAATGAAAATGACTAGAAGAGAACCAAGGCTCCCACAATTCAAGTGCTTACCTTATGATAGCTCTTTACCCAGGGGGTCCTAGCAAGTTATCATGTATCTGCCAAGTTGATATGTGCTTTAGGCAACAGGGTTGTGGGGCTAGAATCCAGACAATCCAAATTTGCAGTCCTTTTTTTTTTCCTGGATTCAGTCTGTGACAAGTCACTTCCTAGCCTCAGATCCCCCGATAAAACAGTGACAAGAGTTGTCTTAATCCACTACTACAGTATTGATACCAATAAAGCATATAAACAAATTATTCCATTTAAACCACTAGAAAACCTAAGCAAAGTGTTCCTAGTACTGCCTGTAACAGCAGCCTTTTTCAACAAAGGAATGTCCAGATAAACATGACTACAACTCCCATCATCCTTAACTAGTATCATCAATGTGTGATGAGGGACAGAGGACAATGAATTATCAAAGTAATCAAAACACACACTGACTTTCTCTAGATTGCCTGCTTTGTCGTCTATTCATATGACTAATATCCTAATATCATTTTCAACTGTTTCCTTGGGGACTGAGCTTCAAGCTTGATATTTACACACAATGAAATAGCCTACAGTTCATTTTTATCCCAGATGCTGAAGCTTGTTTTACAATGAATAAAATCCTTGCAGGTGCTTTCTTATTATCTTGTCTCTGTCAATCGTTTTTCCTTTAGAGACTAAAATCAAATGTCAATCCCCTCATACATATAGGACCAGTGAAAGAAAAACTGATTTGGTAAACCCTTCGAAGCATAAATATATCAGGCATATGGATACATGACTTCTACGTGTAAAAGTCAAGAATATGCCTTTAATCCAAAGTCATCTGCCCGTTTGCTGTACCATCAACTTCAGTGTGTCCTAGACAAGGTCAGGATCTCAGTACCAATGTAAAGTTTCCTAGAACGAGATCAATGTCATCTGCATTGTTCACAGTGCCTCTCTTTCCCCCTCTATCTTTACAAAGATATACAAAGCTCTTTCCTTAGAAACACAATGTGAAATACCATTTAACTCTCTTGTCTCTCAGCACACGCACATATATACATTGATCTAGTTTGAAATACATACTCTCTGAAGTATGGAAAGCAGCGACTAAAAATACAAAGCAATGACATCAACTAAGAAGGTTATATTTTAATGGAGATGAACAAAATGGGATGCCCAAGACAGCTTTCAGATAAACAGAGCGTTCTTTTGATTTATAAGCAATTCCATTCAGTTCAGCCAAGTTTTGAGCTCACAGTGCAAAACCATCATTTTTGATCACTATAGCAGCAAGCTTCTCTGCTATTCTGCACAATAGTTGTACACTTCCAAGAAACTTTCATACTGAGAAACCTGAAAGACCGTTTGAAACTAGGCTATTTAGCTTAATCTTTTCCTTAAAAGCCAATTTTTTTTACAGTTACTGCCTCTATTCAAATCCAGAAGAACTAACTAGATGCAGAAATAACTTTTTGTAACTTTGCAATTACATTCCTGCTTCTTTTGAAAACATTCCAACACATTTCAATGAAGAAATGTAGTAAAAAATTTTTGGGGAGGGACAGGGGAATGAAAAGCAAATGCTAAACTTACCCTTTGCAGTGAAAGAATCCCTTCCATCCAAGTGAAACCAGCAGTGAAAAGAGGGAGGTGGGAAAAAAGCCTTTTCAGTTCTGCAATGACCCTTCAAAGAGAGATGAAGCATCAGCTTCTCTACCAAGAAAAAGTCCTTACAGCAATGTTAGTTCAAGTTTGCAATTTTCTGCAAACTGACAAACAGTTCCGTTTAGCATCATCCCAGCAGCTGGTTTCCATGTGATGTCAGCATTCAGAGGTTGGTTTTAAAAGCTCTTCCAATCCCAAGTCCTGTAACCTTAGATCTTCTCATATTTTACATAAACAACTCCATAGCCAGGACATTTTTAGGTTTTATAGTGAAGCCGAATTCTTAACCTTGTCAAAGCAAGCCAGGATAAGCATACTGACAATAGGCAGTTTTAGATTTCTTTTATAAAAGATACTTGCTTTTTTCTATATAATTTTAATATGCACAAATAGCACCGTTACTACTGCTGCTGCTTTTCCAATAGAAAAGAATAACAAATATTATCAAACTCTGGCTGACAAAGATTAGTTTTAAATGAAAACCAAATCTGTTTTTTTTCCCCCTTCCACCTAGGCACAGTGAATTCTGCATATGCCTCTCTTTTAAGACAAATCAACAGCTGCAGCTGTCCTGGAATGCAGTGACCCCACCTCAGGACGGGTGGGGCATCAGGCTGAACACTGAACAATCTTCCAAGGCTTTTCTGGCTGCCTTTGGCCAGCTGCATCAGCACAATCTAAGAAGACAGCATCGATGCATAAAGAGCCAAGCAGTTGGGCCTCTTATTTTATGGGCAATTTGTAGGTTTGATATTGGAACCTGTTTTTTTAGGTCTGGTGATAACAATGACCAAGGCCCTCCATTTTGACCAGTATCTAGTGACAACCAGCCCTCCATTTTGACCAGTATCTAGTGACAATCAGAACTGATGCAGGATTATTCCACTGATATCCCTAATCCTGTCAATCAATCCACCTTACCTGTTATCTTCCTCCTCTTCTGCTTCCCTGAGCCCTGCCAAACTTGATCATTTTTTTAGTCCACCATCTACTCCAGGGGTCTTCAAACTTGGCCCTTTTATGACTTGTAGACTTCAACTCCCAGAATTCCGCAGCCAGGCATGCTGGCTAAGGAATTCTGGGAGTTGAAGTCCACAAGTCATAAAAGGGCCAAGTTTGAAGACCCCTGATCTACTCAAATACATGTCCCAAACACACATATTTCTTTTTCTGATCATTGTCTTTATTGGTTCTTCTTGTGACTCATGGTATTCTTATTAACCATCTACTATTTTTCACTTGTTTTCAATGTCCATCTTTTACAGCTGTTATTTAACTGTTCTAACATTTTGTCATGTTCTTCTCTGAATTTGCTGTTGCTTTCCTCCCTACAATTAAGTTCTTTCCCTTTCTAGCACATTGCCAGCCTTAGTATTTTATTCAGTTTTAATAATAACCAAATGATCAACTACTTTCACTTATTCACCATTACTTGAGAATGCACTAAACATGCTAGTTATCGGTATCTTTGTCTTCTCTGTATTTAACATTAACATTTTTACATTCCATTTTTATTCTCCTAATGTGCTATATCTTCTTTATTTTCAGCTAATGAAGTAGTATCATCTGCATGCTTCCGTTTGTTAGTATTTAAGCTCCCCTTTCCATTCCAGCAGTCATACCTTCCAATTTTAATCTATATGCTATTCTTGTTAAAAATAATTGAGACAATACCCATACTTATATCACACCTTTTCCTATTTAGAATCATTGGTTCTTCAAACTCAGTTATTATTACAGGAAATTCTTATTTATTGCAAAGGCTAGTCAAAAGAATATATCAGATATTCTGACAGGCTCATTAGCTTTAATACGTTTCACACTCAGGAATGTCCTGTACAATGTCCTTACCAGTCACTAGAAGTGTTTCTCAACCTTGACAATTTTAAGGCATGTGGACTTCAACTCCCAGAATTCCACAGCCAGCATTGCTGGCTGTGGAATTCTGGGAGTTGAAGTCCACATGCCTTAAAATTGTCAAGGTTGAGAAACACTGCGAAAGGAAAGGTAAACTTCATTCTTAAATTCTCTTATAGTCATCCTTATCCATCTTATGTCAGCTGTCTCATCTTGTGCCTTTCTTTTTGAAAAACTGCTTGTTCATGTTGCATTTCTCTCCCCATGTGCAGATCTGTTCTTTTTTGTGTGTGTCTAAATCTTTAAAATAAACTTTTGATTGTGTGAAAAGTAAGAGGGTAACGGTTCAGTAAATTGCACACTGTCTTCCAAAATATCATTTTCTTATTATTGAGGTGTTAGGTGTTGCCAGACATTTTGTCAATTATGTACCTCTTGGAACCAAAAATGTTGCTAAACTGGATGGAAATAACTAAAAGAATTGTACATTTGGTCAGGAAAGTTTACTTGATTCTTTGCTTTAGCAGAAGGAAAAAATGTATTACAGAGCTGTTCTTTCTGTTTACTCAAGTTCAAAGAATATGGAGACAAGAGGCAGCTTTACTAAAAATAGCACTTTCCCTTCTGATAAAATAATTCCAGTCAATCAAAGCAAGTTTCTTCTAGGCACCACCAGGATTAAGGTAAAAGATACGTAGGATGGCTGCAAAGGGTCAAACCTAGTGTCTCCATAAATAACCTCACATTTGAAGAACTAGAAAAAAAAAAGTACAGGGATGAATTTGAGATAACATGAAAGCATGAGGCATAAACAGAAAAGCAGAGTATAGATTCATCAATAAATTACAAAGAATGATACAAGAAAGTGAGGCATTTGATAGATGTTCCTCTTCCTTAAAAATAACAACACTCAGACCATGTAGAGGTGGCATTTCAAGGAAAAGGAGATGAAATCTCTGGTGAAAAGAAAAGGACAAGTGGCGTTCCAATTTGGGACTTCCAGCATAATCAGCATTTTCTGCATATTTGGTAGAGAGATGAGTGACATACAAAAGTAGTAAATGAATAAATAAATGCTTGGCGCACTGGAGGGAGGAGGAAGGAGGCAAGTTGCAAATGTACATTCATAACATTACAATGCAAACTCCACTCCTTTCATGAAAATAGGAGAGAGGTGGAATTTGCTTTGTCACATCACATCACAACACACACACACACACACATTTTGTCATTTTGATATCATGGCTTTGGATAATGAGATGGACAACATTTAATAAATGAATGAAATAAATTTAAAAATGGCTAGCTGTAAAGGTTTCTGAATTAGAAATTTGCTCTTTCTACAAACATTAAGGATTCTACTTGGATTTTCAATTTTTCCTCAAATATATTATGTGCTATTCTATGTACTACATGGCATAAATTGTTTCATTTATAGGCTGACAACCGTAATTTTAATAGTGCCATCTCAGAATATCCAAAACCAAAGTCTACAGCAACTGAGAAAAATATGTAATGTAAATGATCCAACAATATTGCAGGATCCAATCTCACTAGGTGACCGGGATCTTGCAGCATTATCCTGAGACATGTACATTTGCCTTAATATCCAACAATACCATGTTTTAAATATCTATGAACTAATTTGACCTGGATGCCAATTCACTTCTGACTATTTCAACAGGGTGGAGGCAAGCGACCATCTGGAAGTCTAAGAAATGAACATTTGCACACCAGGAACAGCATCCAAACCACAGCTTTGGAACGTATGGAAGAATGGAAAGGCCTGAAGGATCATTTTAATATTTCCAATTTGATGGTGAAAAATCCATGAACCCCAATGCAGCTTCTAAATATGTAGATTCTTTGGTATACATTTATGCTGGATCCTAATTAAAAAGGATGGTTATTCTTTTCTGCTTATTTTTAGACCTTGCAACAGTATTATGTGCTGATAAACCTATCTAGGTAAGGATTTAATCCTACACTTTTTCTCCCTTTGTCATAGCATCAGCCGAAACGTAATCATATCTGTTTCAAGCCAAGCAGAAGAGCTGGAGTGTGATGTTCTGAAGGCATTACACATGTTGTAAACAACTCTTCAAGGTCATCTAGAGTTCATATTTATTTTAATGACATATTCAGGCACTGTTTCTTGTTTTTTAGGGATGGAGCATATTTCTGCTTTAGAGCAGCAACTATTTTCTTCTGCTCTGACTGTAAGGGTAGGTGGCATATGTCAACCTGAGTTTGGCATTTGAAATAGAACTTTCACATTGCTCTTTATGAAATATTATTTCAGCAGCATATCCATCCTTCATTTTTTTACCGTTGAGATTAGAGAGGACTTCCAAGGCATGGATGAAGCAAGAGTAAGCCCAGCCTTTCCACTTATTCTGCAATTATTTTGAGATAATACAGTGATCTCAGCTTGCAAGAAATGATAAGAGAACCAATGCTTCCAAGCTGTAGCTCCCAGCATTTCTTGTCTTTAACCCTGTATCCTTCAACTGAGAAGTCTAAAGCTGAATCAGGTAATGTAATTCTCAAAGGCTCCCAGCTGTCTTTATCCATCTGCCTTGTTTCAATATGAAAAACAGAAGATTTTCAGCAGCATCTTAAGAGCCATATTTTATTACTGCCTTAGAGGTGGTATCTTAAGAAGCATGCAAACATATAGTTTTGGGAGGGTGCTACTCCAAATTTGTAGTGACAGAGCAACATAGCATGTGTCAGTAATGTAGTAGTGTTAGACCGAGACCATAATTGTACTAGACAGATATGCCAATGCTGTATCTTCATAGCAAACCGATAGCTACTTTTGTTTTTGTACAGAAATTTGGTCAACTTGTGTCTCTGCTAGCCACTTCACTTCTTGATAAGCTTTTACTAAATGTAATTTAGTCCCATAATGCATTTCTTCTTAATTGTTCCTATGCCAACAATATATTGAGAGGCCTGTACACTTCCAATTAATGGTGAGTATTTTTTTCAAATATGATAGGTAGGCTGGATAAAATTGAGAAGCAATCATGTATGACTATGCAGTATCATGTTTAACTTTAAAAAGAAACATGGATCTAACCACAAAATCAACTTACCAAAAGAAATGAAGGTCCCTCATTTTTCTGGCTGATGTTAGTGCCCCCAGGAAGGTTTTCTTTCATATCAGAACTTACAAATGTACCTCTCAAGATTGACACCAGTGTAGCTCTTTGCCTTCATAGAATAGTGGTAATCCATTACTATCTAAGTCTAATTGCAAAAAATTCCAGAATTCAGTATCATCATGATCCAGTGTTTTTTTTCTCTTGAAAACAAGCCAAATCATTTGGTAGTTTTAATCTGTAGCAAGGCATAGTGAAGAAAGTATTTTTCTGACCACACAAAGAGATAAACTGTTCCTCAACAGCTGTTCCATTCAATCTCTAGATGGACACTCCAAATCTGAATGAACTTCTAGATCCTGGAATAAAACATCAGATTGTATTAACAGATTTCATCAAGATTGTCAATTCTGCTAACTTGGAAGACTATGGTTATTGAAGAACTCTCTTGTATTACTCTACAATAACAGAATCTTGAAAGACTAAGTCTTTCCTTTTCTTTCCCATTTATAACAAACAGAGCGGAGGAAGCCATGAAGATGATATAAGAGAAACCAACCAGAAGCTGTTAAGATTCTGTTCTTATAGCTTATATCAAACAAGTATAATTCTAGTCGTACGATGGAATCGATTTCCAGGTATGAGTTAAAGCAAGGCAACTTTCTCACATGACCACATCTTCCTGGACTGAGATCATGTTTAGCATATCTTCTCCAAAATCATCTCTCTGTTTCTCTAGAAGAACTATGAAAATGATCTAGACCGGGGGTCTTCAAACTTGGCCCTTTTATGACTTGTGGACTTCAACTCCCAGAATTCCTCAGCCAGCGTGCCTGGGTGAGGAATTCTGGGAGTTGAAGTCCACAAGTCATAAAAGGGCCAAGTTTGAAGACCCCTGGTCTAGACCCTCAGTTTTATCATGCAGACTACACTGCACTTATTGCACACTTGGGAGGCAGGGTGAAACTGGTGTTTAGTTTCTCAACTGTGTTGCCCTAGAAGCAGTGGGAGGCTCATTTCCTGATGGTCTCTCAAAAAATATCTCCAGATAAAGTCAGAGAGATATATAACACTGACTCAGCAATTCCCCATGACATCTGAAGAAGCTTTTATATATTCTCTGGCAGCACTTACCACCTTAAAAAGTTAAACAAGTTTGTAATTTGATAGGATACCATCAAAAAATAAAATCCCAGGGGGCAGAGCTAAATTGAAAATTAAAAAAAAAATATCCTAGAGAAGGATGGAATAGCAGAGCATTTCTGTACTGTTGTCAATGACAATTAGCCTGCAGATATCAGCCTTATAAGATAGACCAGACAGGAAGCACGGCCAGATGAGCTAATTCTATTTTGTTGAAGGTTACAATAACACAATCTTGCAAGTCTGAAAGTACCTTTCTCCTCCACCCCTTTACAACCCAAAAAAACTACAGAGAGTCCCTTCTGAACTGCTTGCCCCATCCACATTCCTGCTGTGGGCTAAACTGCCTTTAATCTGACCTTTCTCTTGACTATGTCTCTTCACCCTGTCTCCCACATAGCACCTTAAACTAGGATTCCTTGGATTGCAGCAAAAAGCCAATGAATATGAGATGACTAGCCTTTAAATTCAGGTGTTTTTATGGAAAATAATATTATGGTATGACTATTAAATTTTTAACAAGAAAAAAGCCTGGTACATATACTGATCTGAATCCCATGGGGTCCCTTAGTACAGTGGTTCTCAACCTGTGGGTCGGGACCCCATTTGGGGTCGAACGACCATTTCACGGAGGTCGCCAAACAACGCAGTCCGCCATTTTCCCCCCCTTTTCCTTAGCTGTGCTACTCCCTTTTATTCTATTGGCTTTTGAAAGCCAATAGAATAGACTCTCTTGAATAGAGTCTAATTCTATTGGCTTTCAAAAGCCAATAGGAATTGTCCAGGCTGTCTCTGCCCTGCTGAGCCCGCCAAAAGTCCCATTCTGCAAATGGTGCTGCACCAGCTGAGTAGTCCTCGACTTACGACCGGTTGAGTAGTCCTCGACTTATGACCGGTTGGGGGTCGCGGCATTAAAAAGGTTGAGAACCACTGCCTTAGTAGTACAGATTAAGTCAAATTGGAGGATACTGGCTACTTTAATAGGGAGGGGGATTCTACTAGCAATTAAAGATTGAAAAGGAAGCAGCAGCAAACTGAAGTGAAACTGAGCCCGTGGGCGATCATCATGCCCTGCAGATGAGGTGGCCCTGTCAGATTTGGCTGTTAATATGAGAGGAAGTGTCTGACACATTTCTGTAATTTGATCAATCGTACTTGCAACCAAAATAGTTTCCACCTCAGAGCTGATCAGAATTCTCAAGTGGACTATTTATCAGGATGAAACCAAGCAACTCTTGGTCACACTCCCTATAAATCCATGCACCTAGAAACAAAATAGGATGGGAAGTATAATAAAAGCTTTGCCTAGGGTCAGAGCTCTAAAGAAGAGACATTGTATTTTCTTTGCCCAATGATGTCCCACTAGGGCTGACATAACTGGTGAAAATTCTGAATTGAATTGAAACTGATTGTTGCAGACAAACTTGACCTACCCCTTATGAAAAGGACAGATGATAGCATGGAGATAGTTTCCCCAGGTTGATGGCAGCAAGGAAATCATCTGGGAGAATCCACTTTCTAGTTGATCTCAAGGTTTATATCAGGAATATTCTGGGTCTGATGAGACCTTCCATAATGACTATGTTTTTTTTAAAAAACTAACTTCAGAATACTTAATCTGACAGGGAAAACAGAGAAAAGCAAGTCTAATGAGTTAAGAGATTTTTTTTTTGGGGGGGGGAACCAGAATGGGGGGATTGAGGTTCTACTTTCTACTTAAGGAATTAATACTTGGCTGGTTTCACCTGAATATTACTGAACGTGCCTTTCATAACTGAGGTTCCACCAATTAGCATGTTAAAATTTGCAGTAATTGTAAGCCAATAAATGTTAACATGGACTAGATGGCCTAAATCAGGGCTAGGCAACCTCAGTTCTTTTATGACTCATGGATTTCAACTCCCAGAATTCCTGAGTCAGGAATTCTGGAAGTTGAAGTCCATGAGTCATAAAAGAACCGAGGTTGCCTAGCCCTGGTCTAAATAATACTGTTTCTACATTTTCTGCACTGCCGCTGCAGCTTTCAACTCTGATTCAGCAACTGATAAGGAATTGCATGCAGTTCAACAACTTCTGGTCAAGAAACACAATGACTCAGACACACTTTCTGATAATTGCTCTCAATTATATCATGATTGAAATCTGATAATGCTAAAATAACAATAAAGGAAGTTTTAGAATGCCTTATGATTGAAAAAACTATATGGGTTTTGTGTTTCTGAACCTTAATTTACACCACTATGCCTACTTTTTAACTAGTACCAAATTCCAAAAGCCTTATGTAGTATAAAATTGTCCTTCCTAAGAATATTTGAATAGTGCTATGTGTGAATATTTGAAATATTTGGGGTTCAAACTACCATAGCTTGCTATTATGTTGACTTTAAAATTGTGATATATTATTTTTGAAAAACTGTATTAGTATCTTTTTTTAATGTAGAAGTGATGTGAAGAAATAATCTTGTTCTTAAAATTGGTAATAATTTTAAAAAACTTATTATATGAGAGATTTGGTAGATAATGGGATTTTTATTTTAGATGAACTAGTAGATAGTAACGATGTGTTTTCATTTTCTTTGTTAAAAGATAAATACCATTTGTCTGTTGCCACCCAATGGCAGCATTTACAATTACAACATTTATGGATAGCTCAGTTTGCAGCAGCAGCAGTTTCAGCTTCAGAAACACTTGAATTATTAAAAGGGATCATTAATCCAAGAGACAAGGAAGTCTACAATTAATCTTAGTAAACAACTGTTGTCAATAAATCAGGTTGATATGCCTATTTTAAAGACTAAATGGATATGATCATTTTAAACAAGCGGAGAACCACATTTTATCTACAAATTAGGGAATGGTTTTAATCTCAATAACAGATGTCTCAGTAGATTTTTTTTTTTTTTTGGTGCCTTCAAGTCAGGTAGTTAGAATAGGATCAATGTAGTTTTTTCTGCTAGTATTTATCAGAAGTGGTTTAACCTTAGGTTCTTTCTAGGCCTAAGAGAGTGTAACTGGCCCAAGATCACCGAGCTGACTTTATGCCTAAGAGTCACAATCCCCTTGTTCCTAGCAAACTATATCAAGCTGGCTTTCCAACAGATCTTCAACTATGGCTTATTCAACAAAAAGTAAGATTTCAGGTTTATTGGACACTATTGAATTTGTACAGAAAAGTAATGAATAAATGTTTTTGGAGATGCCAGATTTTGCAATGTTCTTAAGTTGTCTTCTAGGAAGAAGTAATTAGATATACTGTATTCACTTGACTTTGAGGTAAACTTTAGTATTTTGGAATGCCCAAATTATTTTAAGCTGCATGCCAATTACTGAAAATTGACATTTGGACAACTGAAATCGATTTTCTTCTTTCATATTCTCCATGTTATGTTAGATAGCTAGCTAGCTAGCTAGATAACCACACTCTGTAACCATGTTTTACTCAGGTTTTACTCAGATTTATAAGGTGTACCTGATATTTTTTGCTATGTTAACAATAGCAGTAACTGCAGAAAGATCATTCTCTAAACTAAAGCATACAAAGGAATCATCTGTGCGACATTTCACAAAAGGTTGTTGCTACTCTTGACTGAGAATGAGCTTGCCAGAAAAATACACACAATATTTCAAAGGTAAGTCAGGTGTTATAAGATGACTTTTGAGTAACCCTTTGTAACATACCTGCACATGACCTAAAAGGATGATGTTGTATTCCTACTGGGCTGTATAGGATTGACTCATTGTGGCTGCACAGCACAGAAATACAACATGTGAGACCAATAAACTATACAAACAGAAGAGGGTAAGAGTGATAGTAACCAATTTTATGACTGCCAGGCTGCTTGCCTAGAAAATAAGTCAGTACTGCTGGTGGTTTAATTATGGGAGATTTCGTTTCTATGGGGCAAGCCTGAGGGAGAGAAGGGGCTAGCATAGGCGAGGCTTCTATAGGGCAAGCCTGAGGGAATGAAGGGGCTAGGGTAAGAGAGACTTCTGTGGGGCAAGCCTGAGGGAGAGAAGGGGCTAAGATAGGAGAGGCTTCTATGGGGCAAGCCTGAGGGAGAGAAGAGGCTGGGATAGCAGAGGCTTCTGTGGGAAAGCCTGAGGGAGAGAAGGGATAGGATAGGAGAGACTTCTGAGGGACAAGCCTGAGGGAGAGAAGGAGCTAGGATAGGAGAGGCTTCTATGGGGCAAGCCTGAGGGAGAGAAGGAGCTAGGATAGGAGAGGCTTCTATGGGGCAAGCCTGAGGGAGTGAAGGGCCTAGGATAGGAGAGACCTCTGTGGGGCAAGCCTGAGGGAGAGAAGAAGCTGGGATAGCAGAGGCTTCTGTGGGGAAGCCTGAGGGAGAGAAGGGGATAGGATAGGAGAGGCTGAGCCTGAGGGAGAGAAAGAGATAGGAGAAATTTCTGTGTGCTAAATCAGAGAGGGAGAGAGGGAGAAGAAGAAGGAGGAGGAAGAGGAAAAGAAGAAGAACTACTACTACTACTACAACAACAACTGACCAGCCATTTGATGGCTTTCCCTACATGTGACCTGTCTGACCACTGACCATTACCTCATCATGTGTTCCAGCCAAGCAGTGGTGCCTAAATGAAGGACCACTGTGGACTGGCAGCCATACCAAGAGGACCAGGAGAACCCAGACTCCAGTGGCCTTTTTGGGGGTTGGTGCTACAGAAGCATGCACATTCTGCAGGGAAAAATTTTCATTTGCTTACCTGGCTATTTGGATGATGCTAGTTCAGCTTTGATTGGAGCTTTTTTGGTTCGGGCTGCTTGCAACATCTACATTTTGGCATGAAGGTGGGTTTGTCTTCTTCCTATCAAACAGTCTTCAGTGTTTTTACAGCAATGATTACTACAGAAACTATAGCTCTTGAACTTTGTAGCTTGGGAAGATGGACAACATAAAACAAACTGAAAATAACTTTATAACAAATGGTAAAATGATTTTAAAAATGTCTACAGCACAAAGAACAATGTGAAAAGGAAGACAAGTTTAAATATTGTTGTGTAAGAAAGGGATGAAAACAAGACAAGGATGAGAATAAGTAAAATGATAGGCTGGAACATCTGGGGAAAGTAAATACAAAGACAAGATAATACTACATTAATAAAACCGCAAAGTTCACTTTTCAAGAGGAAAAAAAACAACATCAAACCTTTCTACCTAGTCTTGTGAAAATTGTATATGTCAGATCCAAATAGCTATACAAAACAATCTGAGGGAATCTTGTAACAGTAATATTGGTAATGTAATAATTGTAATATTTTCCTGAAATACCTATGACTTTTCCCATTTGGGTGCTGATTGCTGCTGGGGGGGTACTTTGGTGTTATAAACTGAGAGCAAACCCCACTCCTTACTAGCTCTGAGTAATGAAACATCTACAAGAAAACAACCAAACTCAGAGAGAACCAAGGACCCCTCATTTCATCCCTGAGTTACAAATATTCTCCTTTATTGGTAGAATTAACAAATTTAAAAGTTGGATTGACTCAAATATTAGTAAGCTGCCAGTTTTGCTTTTTCTCATCATTCCCACTTTGGTTTATTTGTCAAAATGAAGATTTACAGGTCAGATGGCAGAGAGGCCTGGGTGCAATTCCTCCCTCTGCTAGTTATTCTCTTCCCTCTTTTAGCCAAAGAAAAAGGAGGCAAGCAAACCACTCTAAAGGGGCCCCCAAAACAGGGAGAGCAGGAAGGAAACCTTGAAACCAAGCCAGAGTTCCCACTCCCATTAATATTGTCACTCTCATTCACCCAGGCCTGTGCCTTGGAGTCTCAGCAAAAGAACCCAAGATAGGTTGCTACAATTTTTTTTTTTGCAGCTATACTGCTCTATGGGCAGAAAGCCCTCCATTAAGGGAATCACCCAACACCCTTCTGGCTATCTTTTTCTGAGCCAAGACATTCTCCCAAGCAGCTGGTATTTTAGAATTAAACAGTTAAGTTTCATTTGTAAACGTTAATATCACATTATGCTGAGATAAGACCTTTTATATATTTTATTTTCCCCCTGCTGTTTATTGGGTATTTCAATTTTAAATTAAGATTTTTACCTGTCGTTTTTCTAGTTATATGTGTTTTATAATCCATTAATAATATGGGTGAATTTAAACAAAAGCTAAACAAATGATATTTACTATTCAACTTTTTAACCAACCCACAGAGCTCTTACTAGGTAAGTATCCAATAATGTATTCTTCTTATGCTACAAAACCTAAGAATCCAATGTTGGAACAATAATCTGGGAAATTTAAATTACAGTCATAGAAATTAAAGGGTGTCTTCTTCATCTCACATAACTACACACGAAAGCAGCTTAAGTTTTCAACTTTTCGCTTGGGCTAAAACTCTTTCCCTTCAATGGCTTTGACTAAATAAAAATCTACCTGACTCACTGACAAAGGTTCATCTGTACTTCGATCATCTGAAAGCTTTGGAACTTCTAGTCTGTCAATGAAGGCCTGGAGTTCTTTTCTAAATGCCTTCATCTGGGCATTGATCCGATGAAGAAGTTCGTGTTCCCGTATCCTACTTCCATCGTCTTCATCGTCCAGAAGTCCAAACAGGTCCCCGTTTGTCACATAAATTCTTGCTTCAGTTATGATAGTACTGGTGTCAGAAATCAAACGGTCAATAGTCTTGCCCAGACGTTCAGCTTCACAGCGGATGTCCTTGGTTTGCTGCCGGTCATTAAAGCTTTTCTGCCATCCTACTGGGGTTGGATAGAAGGATCTTGTGGGGGTCAAGCAACGGACGTTGCGGACCTCCTCTGAGTCACTTTCTCCCCCAATGGGCCCTTCTCTTTTGCGGTGAGGGGGGCGAGTATCCTCATCACTTTCTTTCTTCCCTGTCTCACTTTCAGCATCGCTGTCCCTGGGACTCCCTCGGATCCCCAAATGAGAGGCCAAATCATAGCGCTGCATATTGGACATCAGTATTCTGTTCTCATATTGGAGCTGCATGACTTTGCCGCTGAGTTCATTAATTTGCATGCGGGCAGCCTTCAGTTCTTCCTGAAGTATTTCTGCTTTGGGACTGTCATGGTGTCGTGAACTATCGTGAGTTCCACTCTTGTATTTGTATTTGTTCAGCTCCGCAGTGACACGTTTGTTTTGTTCTTCTGCATCAGTTAAGTTCCTCCTCAACAGTTCAGTCTCATCTTCAACTAACTGCAGATGCTGCCTTAACTCTGACAGAGATTCATTGGGGTCTCCCAGGAGCGGGTTGGCTGCCCCTGAGAAATCATCTCCTCTTAAGTCATCAAGCTCTGCTTTCAGTCCTCTGTTCTCCACTTCCAGTTCCACTATTTTTCTTCCAAGGATATTGGCTTCTTCCTCAACTAACCTCAGACGGAGCTTGAGTTCTGCTTCTCTTGTGCTAGGTGGACCTCCTGCTTCCCCTTTTGGTAAGGGACTGTCTAGATCACCATAAAATGACCTATATTTCTGAAGATCATGCTCAAATCTGTCCTTCTCCTTGTCCACTTTGGCTAATTTTTTCCTCATCAGAGCAGCCTCTTCTTTGACAAACTGCAACTGGCATTTCAGATCTTCACTATCCTCCTGTGACAAAGAATAATCCCCAGTTATATTGCTCACTCATAGGGATGACAAATGACAATTTAGCACAAAACACCAATATATCCAATATATAAATACACAATTGGTAGGTAGGTAGGTAGGTGGAGATAGATAGATAGATAGATAGATAGATAGATAGATAGATAGACAGATAGATAGATATGGATGGATGGATTATAGATTTATTTGTAAGCTGCCCAAGGTCACTGAAAGTGAATAGGCAACCATATAAATTCTCTAAACCAGTGTTTCCCAAACTTGACAATTTTAAGGCATGTGGACTTCAACTCCCAGAATTCCACAGCCAGCGTTGCTGGCTGTGGAATTCTGGGAGTTGAAGTCCTCATGCCTTAAAATTGTCAAGTTTGGGAAACACTGCTCTAAACAAACAAAATCTATCACAGTAAACTTTACTAGTTTCCTGATAAATTTTAAGGAAGACAAAACTTTAATCCTCTTATATGTGCAATACTTGGAAATGAAAAACCTGTCGTTAGATCTGTCCAGGATTAATTAGAATTCTGACACTTCAAAGGCAAGTGTCAAAATAATGCTCAACAAAATAAAGCAAAGAAATAAATCAGAGTAACATTTCTAGTACAAGTTGCCAATCAATGTCTCAGAAGGTGGCAATACCTGTTTCTCTTTTGTCTGGCTCAAAAGCTAAGCAGGGTTTTTATTACTTAGATAGGAGACCACTAGGCAATCCAAAGGCTGGAAAACTAGATTGGGAAATTGAAAACCAAGAAGAAAATGACAATCACTTCCACATAATTTACAAAAAAACCCTTCATGGATATTCCTGTGAAATCACCAGTGATTTCAACTTAAAGAAAACTTTATTTTTGTTCAATCAACAGGAGCTACCTGTATTACACATCTGTTTGGGTTTGTTGCATACATGCATTACACATCAAATAAAAGCAATTTAAAGAAAATGTAAGGTGTGAACTAGCCTTGAATTTGGCTAAATACCCTTAAAAAAGAGTCTTCTAGAATCATTAAGACAAAGGATGATGATGATGTCATAGAAACAAGGTTAGTGACATCTTTTTAGGTAATATAATAGTGGAAGTATTGATCAGGATAATATTTCAGACAAAATTTAAAAATGCAGAGGCCAGAATTCCTCTGCATTTATCCATGGAACATAGACTAACAAGTTAGAGGCATAACATGGGAGTTTGACAGAGTGTCTTGAAGCCACTGATGTGATTTCCATACTTGCAACAAAGAGTGTGACTCGAGTGTTAAATTGTATCCTTTGCCCTCTACAGAAACATGATCATTTTGATCCAAATCTGATAAATGTGTTTCATAAAAAGAGCCCAGTTTTCACACAGTTGACTAAGGAAAGGTTTGCAATTGTCTACAGGAAATCCTCGACTTACGACCACAATGGAGCCCAGAAATTTGTTAGGTGAGTTTTGCCCCCATTTTATGACCTTTCTTACCATAGTTGCTAATTGAATCATTGCAGTTGTTTAGTTAGTAAATTGTTAAGTGAATCTGGCTTCCCCATTAACTTTGCTTGTCAGAAGGTCGCAAAAGGGGATCACATGACCCCGGGACACTACAACCGTCATAAATGTGAGTGAGTTGTCAAGCATCCAAATGTAAATCATGTGACCATGGGGATGCTGCATAAGTGTGAAAAATGGTCATAAGTCATTTTTTTCAGTGCCGTTGTAACTTCAAATGTGTTGTGATTCCTCGCCAGCCTGTGGATCCGGCAGCTGACTCTGAGGAATCAGATGAGGAAGAGGGGCCTGGAGTGACATCAGAGTCAGAGGAAGGCTCTGAGGAGCTCCAAGACTTAGTCGGATGAGGAGCCTGGCCCCTCCACTCGTGCTCAGATTGAGACACAGCTGTGCTGGGAGCCTGAGTTGGACAGTGATGAAGAACAGCTGGGAAAAATCCAGGATGCACGAAGGTGCAGGCAAGAGAAGCGAGTAGAACAGAGGAATGCAGTGGGGTAGCTCCAAAGGCAAAGGAAAAGGCAATAGGAAGCCATGCCTTAGCTATGCCTTAGTAAAAGGGAAGGTGTGGAAGGTGCTGGTTGCCAAAGGCAACCGTTCATGTTGAGGATCGAGTTTCTGTGAACTGTGTTTGTTTGCCTAGGACATTGACTCAGGTCTATAAGGATAAAAGGGGTTGTTTTTTTCTTGCAGTTCCTGCCTGTTACTTGGAAGAGGGGTTTCTCCTTGTGAGTATAACAAGGACTCAGGCTGGGACAGAACAAAATGGTCACTAAATGAACTGTTGTTGTTGTTGTTAAGTCGAGGACTACCTACATTCCATCACTTAAATGGTCATATGGTTTACTGCATTGTACCAGGGGACAGAAAAAAAATATTCTGTATCACCTCAGCAGACATCTGTTGTGACCTTTTTTCTGATTTTTGCAAATCTTTGCTTCCTCTTCTTTTCATACACTGTTGGAAAAGAAAGAGAAGATATAACAAATATTTTACTAAATGCATGCTATCCAAGGTTATTAAACCATCATTCAAACAACATGAAAATTTCTAGCTTTTTTAAAAAATATTTTTGGTTTCATCCTCCAGAGATAGTTACGTTGAAAACTAAGACAGCGTAATTAAATGTTCTTTAAACGTTCTTGTTCTTATTGATCTAAATGCAAATAGCAAGGAACACATCAAAAATTAATAGTAGTTTTAGAGAGAAAGGAATGTGACATGTAATTTTGAATATATATTAGTAAGAAGGCTACTGAGTGATTAATACTGTTTATGATAATTAACTATACCTATTACTGTTAGTTAAATACATGTACCCATTACTAAATATTGAAAATGTTACCTGGGAAAACTCCAACCCCAACCCCAACCCAAACCTCAATCCTAATCCTGACCCCATTTTATCCCTTACCCTATTAAAACTAATAAAATTTATTTTTTAAAAAAGAAAATTAATAGTAGATCATAAGTACCAAATAGCATTTTTAAACACGTTGAGTCAGGTACTGCCTTCAACACAACTGTACTCACTGAAGAGATCAAAATAAAAAAATAGTCTGAAATAATAATTTCCCAGATCTGCAGGTTGCTTACCATGATAAAATAATAAATGGACTTTCAAACCTGTCTGAAAAGCAAAACTGCTTTTCGCCCACGGATCAGCTGTAACCAGTCCAGTCAGAGAACAGACAGGAGACATAGCAAAGTAGTGTATTACAACCTTTGATGTACCTATCCCACCTCAGCCAATTTTGCCTGTCCCCCTCCCAGGGAGCAGCTTGTCACTAACCTCTTTCACTTTGTCAAATTCATTCTGAAGAGCGTGTTTAGTAATCTCAGCTTCTATCAGCTGCTGCCTTAACTTTTCATTTTCATCTTCTGTGGTGGAGCGTTTTTCTTCCACGTTTTCCAACTCATGGTGAAGTCTTACAGAAACATCTTTTGCAACCTGCATGGAAGGATACTTCACATTTTCAAGCAGGAAAACAACTTTCATAGCAGAGCTTACTACGCTCATGAAGTTTAGGGGTATGTTGTGATCAACTTATATCAGTTCCGTTAAATACCGAATAAAATGTTCTTCCTAATTTTTTTTAAAAAATGAGTGCAGTTAGGGTTACTTCAGGCACTCCAGTTTAGTTTTTTGAGAGTATGATGAATAGAATTCCCAAAGATTAATTCTTTGATCATTAGAATCATGGGTCCAATCCAGCCAGCAACTGGCACGAAGTCTGATTTTTCTCAGGGGAATTATAACCTTAAGGAAGGAAAGTAGGGCAAAAATTGAATTAACGAAGTACAGGTAGTTTTTGATGTACGACCACAATTGAGCCTAAAATTTCTGTTGTTAAGTAAGTTTTGCCCCATTTTACGACCTTTCCTACCACAGTTATTAGGTGAATCACTGCAGTTTATTAGTTAGTAACCTGGCTGTTAAGTGAAACTGGCTTCCCCATTGATTCTGCTTGTCAAAGGTCACAAAAGGTGATCACATGACCCCAGGACACAGCAACAGTCATAAATATGAACCAGTTCTCAATCATCCAAATTTTGATCGCATGATCATAGGAATGCTGCAATGGTCGTAACTTTGAAAAACGGTCATAAGTCACATTTTTTCAGTGCTGTTGTAACTTTGAACAGTCACTAAAAGAACTGTTGTAAGTCAAGGACTACCTGTATAGTAAATGATAAGGAGACATCTTCATTGGTAGATCTAGGAAAGCCAAAACCACATTGATATAAAATATTTATTTAACTATTGAACATGTTTTACGGTAGCTGTAATTAAAAATAAAAACTCCTGTATTATTACAATGCAATGCAATTATATTTCAGTTATCAGCCCAAGCATTGGGTAATTAATTTTTTTGATTTTAGCCCAGGCAGATGTTTCATTTAAACTCATTTTAATATTCTTTCTTCCAAGTTGGTATGCAAAGATTTATGAATTTAATATTCTTTTTCCTAGATCGAACATCTCAAAGAAAAAGGAACTAGTTAGAAGCAACCTTAGGATTTATTGGAAAGCAACCATTATAAGATTGATCCATTCTTACAGGAAATTCAGTATGAACTATTAATAAACAGGATAAAGATTTTTACACCAATGATTCTGCCATGATAATATAACCTCATGACATATTTACAGAGTATGTAAATGATGCAGAGTATACGATGCAGATTTAATTTAAAGAAATTGAAGATAAAACAAAAGATTATATATATGAGTGCAGTATGTAAACTGCCCAGGTTCGAATCCCATAAAGGGTGTGGCTAACTGAAGAAAGCAGAATGAGCTCGAAATGGCCATCTTAGGCTCCCAATTTAATTCTTTAATTCTTTGTCAGAAAAAGAAATTTGGATTTGTAATGTTTCGCAGTTGCAACCTGAGCCTGCTTAACGCCCCTAGTTGGGGGGCTGCAAGGCAAAAGAGATTGCAAAAAGTAAAACTGCAGTATAGCAGTTAAAAAATGTCAAGGTGTAATCAATCAGACATCTGTCTGAAAACCTTCCTGCATATACTCCCTTGACTTGGCTGGCAAAGAGGGAGGAGAGCCTATGGCTTGGTGGTTAAATCATTGCCTAGTATGTAAATTGCCCAGGTTCGAATCCCATAAAGGGTGTGGCTAACTGAAGAGAGCAGAATGAGCTCCAAATGGCCATCTTAGTCCCATTCGTCATCTTCAGACTGCTGTTTTTGGCTTCTTGCTCCTAGAAGCAATTTGACACAGGAGAAAACCCAAATAACCAAAGACCTACCGACCTACCTACCTACCTTCCTATGTGTTTGTGTGTGTGTGTGTGTGTGTGTGTGTGTGTGAGAGAGAGAGAGAGAGAGAGAGAGAGAGAGAGAATGATTCTACCAGGGCAAGCCATTTGCCTCCAACTGTTAATCCTTCAAGACAGGCCACATCAGGAAATAGACTCCACTGGTTTAATTGGAACTATACTTTATTGATTTAAGTCATAGTAACAGAATCTTGAAAGCTGGGTTCTGTTTTGTCTTCCCTCCTTCTTATATCCTACTGAATTAGGACAAAGTCGGTCTGGGCTTCTTTATCACACATTCTATTTCCCAAACTTAAACCATGCTTTTGTTTTTGCAATTATTTCTGCATACTATAGTTTCAGAGACCCATTTCTGAGGATCTCTACATTCATCCTGGGATTGTAACATTAACTGGAGTTATATCCTTTTTTTTTTTGTTTCAATTGAAAGAAACAAATGGTATGTGGCATTGATTTCTAGATCCATTCACTAAAATTAAATTAAATTATAAGCTTTAAGGCTGTAATTTCATTTGGAAGTCATTGAAATATCTGTTAATTGATCACCTGGAATGTGATCTCTACTGACTCCCTGGTGATTGGATATTTCTAAATAATTGAGTAAGGGGGGGAAAAGTAAAAAATGAGCATAAGGGGTTAGCATCTACACGACAGACACATCATTCTGATGACTGCCAGATGTTTTGGTCTATGAGTCTCATAACTGACAAATCAGGCTGGTTCAGACTGGTGAGAAATGTCCGAAAAACCAAGACAGTACCGCTTTGCTTATTCTGCCTTATGTGATTAAATTCCAGTTGTCAAAACCACAAGATAATTCAGACTTCTGTTACATTTGCCTTCCCGCAAAAGATTATGAGAACTAAAGGTACCACAATTTGATTGTTTTTTTCATCAATTGCTCCAAATTACCTTTAAATCCTGTTCCAAGCTACGAAGAAGTTCTCCATCAATTTCTCCAGTTTGTGCATAACGGAGCTTCTTCCGCTCTGCTTTTCGAAGACGATACTGAAGGATTCTACAGTTTTTGTTAGCTCTTTCCAATTCATGGCGCACTTCCTGAAGCTGGCAAGCATCCTCTTCAAAAAAGCTGTCCCTCATCTCATCCATTTCAGTTCTAAGTTCATCTATTTCATTCTGACACACATTCAGAAGGAATAGATAGAAAAGCATAAAATGACATCAGATCACATTGATAAAGAACACAAGATATGGTAATTTACCCATAGTTGTTAAATAACTATTATGAGAGAAGCATATGGCTTCCCACTATCTTCCTTATCCTTACAAGTATTATAAATGGCAGAAGAAAAAAATTGTGATCCCAAATTAAGAAATGATCCATTTATATTTCAAATATTCCTTGAATTGGCCAAAATAAGACATTAAAAGCATGCGCACATGTAGCACAATGAAACTGCTTCATAAGCCAGAAGAATCCCCAAATATATTAGCCGTGTATATTTTACAATGCATGCATATGGCAATGAGAAGCATGAAGAAGGGAGTAGAACATCTGGCAAATCATATTCAACTATGTGTATTTTTATCTCTGAAAGGTGCAATAATCCTAGAATATTTATTTAGAAAATCATAATTTCTAAAATGTCCATAAGTCAGGGAATCTCAAACTGGGTTGAGGCCGCTAGAGAATCAAGAGTAATTTAGAGGCTAGTCATAATTTCTCTAACATGCAAGCAAAGCAGAAGTATTGTCAAATCAAAGTATGGTCTTTGATCCTCAGTTTGCATTAGCAAGTCCATAGATGGCAGTTATTATACCACAAAGTCTGAAAATCTTTGAGGAACATAGATAAAAATGTAATTATTAAAAGTGAATGTCTTACTTACTTCTTGTCCAACCCTAACTCCAATGAAACCATTATCTTTATTTATTGATTCATTTATATTTATATCCCGCCTTTATTTTGTGCAACTTAATTTATGGGAAGTCACAGATTATTATTTTATGGAGTTGTAAGTACCACTAGGTTATATTATGTCTTTTACTTCATCAGTTTGCTGAATTGAACCTCATTTTAACTTATATAGCTATAGTCAATTTGGTGTACAATAGGACAAGCAAATCTTCTAGTCTAGAATATAAGGTGAAATATATATAAAAAAATCCCGCCTGAGGATGGAAAAATTGTATTATATTCACATCAAAGTTCATAGCCAAGGATGTATGCACTCCCTTCCCCACCCTTCTCTTAAACTAGAAAGCAGACCAGTAGGTATCTTGACAACAACTTGATCTCCTCAAAGGAGAATTCACCATTAGCATTCCTTCTCCTTTCTTTTTTGGAACAGACTAAAACACCACCAGCATGTGCACATATACACTGGAACTCAGACAGACCCCCATTATTTCTCCCCTTCTGTATCTTTTGATCACCTTGAGGTTTTCATTCTCCTCCTCCAGTTTCTCCATCTCTTCCTGTAGCTCCTGCTGCTGCTGCTGGGATTCCTGGGTTGTGTTGTCTTCCATAGTTCCACTGAGGCCACTGCTACTTTCATTTTCAGGCAGCACCATGGAGGAGGAGGAAGTCGAGGAGGGCAAACTGCCCACATTGCCATTAGCTTTGTTGTTGCCTTTGTTCTGCATCTGGGTTGCTGATAACCCTTTCCTGAGATGAAACTGAATGAGCTCACTTTGCAGGCATCCTTCTTTCCAGTAATTGCCATTGTTCACTGATACAGCCTGGCCTTTCCCTGAACCACAAAGCGACGAAGAAGCTGAAGTTGCCTCTCCTGCACTCTTCTTGTTTGTTTTACCCCTGTTCCAGCTCTTGGATGGCAGCTGAGAAAGCACAAAACTACCCACCCTTTCCCCCTTCCCTCCTGATACAAGCTGTTGTTCTCCAGCTCTAAGACCTGTAAGTTCAGTGTCTTTGGGAGGTGCCTCTTGTGCTTCAGCTGCAGGCCCAGGATTTGGTCTGGGACACCCTCCCGCCGAGACCAGGAATGAGGCAGGCTGCTCTTCAGCACCATCCCCGGCATGGACAGCTCCCAACAGAACTGAACTCCTTGTTGATGTAGCCTGTAAGGGCAGCTTGTCTCCTTCTGTTCCTCCACCCTTGACCCGGCTAGTTTTCTGCCCTATTGGTGACTGCTGCAATAACTGCTGCCGGGTAGAGCTTGCTTTCGAGACAGGAACTGCAGCTGCTGCTGTGAAGCGGGATGAATTGGCAGCTGGCAAGGGCTGGCGGACAAGAGACTCCTTGGGTCTGCCTGGAGAGAATGCACGCTGCTGCTTAGTTCGGCTGCTGCTGCCCTCAGGAAGCAAACGAGGAGAGACGGTTGCAGCACCGCCTCCACTAGGCGGCTGGCTCATGGCTAAATCAACCTAAATCAGAGGTTGCTGAAATATTCAGCCCTCTCTGGCTCATTGTCTTCCTGCCCTCCTTCGGCTGCTGGTAAGTGAAGCACACACAGAAGCCTTGTCAACAGCCCTGCCACTCAACACAAAGCAAGCCTATTCACCCCACGAAGAACAATGTGCCTATAATAAAGGGGGTGGAGTTTGAAATTGCTCCATGAGGTTAGCTCACAACCTTAGATGTAAAAGAGGCAGGTCGTGACTGGAAGCTTGCTTTTAAGTCCCTGAAGCAACAAGCAGTTCTCATTTTTCATGTGAACAGACTGAATCTTTCAGCTGCAGCTACTTTTCTTAAAGTGCTTCTTCCACAAACCGCATGTTCCAAAGTACTTCCACACGTCAGTGAGGAGGGATCCATTCATTAGTTTCAACACAGATTGGTCCAGCATAGTTAAAAACAGTCTCTTCCAACTGGGAGGAAAAAACTGTGATGAGACTTAAAATAATCCATATCTAACATGCTGTAAAATAAATCAATAAGAGATCTGTTAGAAAAATCTAATTCCACGTATCTCTAATAGTGGCTTTTAATGGGAAGAAAGAACAGGTTTCTCCAACCACCCCTTATTCTAACAAACTCTGAATGTATTGAGGGGAATTCAGGGACAATGAAAACTCAAATAATCATAACGAAAAATAAACACTTAAATTTATTCAAATAAGAACATTAGTGAAGGAGGGAGAGGTTGAAAAAAATTGCTTTCAGTGGGTGCATCGTCAGCTATCAATTGTAAAGTCAAAAACAACATTAAGACACTTTAGTCAGAAGCACGCCCCAATGAATTCAATAGCTTTAAGTTACAAAGCAAAGTCAACACAGCAGTGCAGCCTTCATCTAACTCAAATTCTTATTTTGTTGTTAGCTTTTGTGAAACTGTCACTTTACTTTACAATACAGCAGCACCAGCCAAGTGGTTTTTTTCCAAGTACTAGAAACAAGAGGGTGAAATATGAAACAATCTTCATTGTTGAATGAAGGATGGTTTGATTTGCAAGGCTTAGTTAAATTTGCATATACATCAGTTTGAACCTAACTTCTGTTTTACTCCACATATCAACACTGAGGTAAAGAAAATGTAAGAAAAAGTTTCACACATTGTATGAACCCTTTGTTTAAACACAGATGAAACACCCCCTTCCTAGCCTGGTATTCTCTAAATACTTTTAGTGTCCTGTTTTCATTGTTTTACCTAACTGATTATATCTGGCCTGAGATTCTGGGAACTGTATTTCAACACAAGGAAGGCATCAAGTTAGAGAAGATTGATCTAATTAGTAAGCCCTGATTAAGTAGGATTTTTTTTTCTTGCTGTATTTGCATAGATGTAATAGTTTCCATAGCAGAAGCAGAATCCCAAAGGGGATTTGTTCGATTAAGTATAAAAATGTAGCCTACAGTTCTTAAAACTTTCTCAAGGTGACCCCTCTTAAGCCATTATTGTTATTTATTTAATTTAATAGATTTATAGGGCTGCTCAGTGTAATTCTCTGTAGCACGCAGCAAGACTCAAACAAAAATATATCTAAATATCACATAAAAGTTAAAAAAGCACACCTATCTGACAGTGTAATATGTTTGGCGCAATAATAATCTTTTTCATGTCATTGAAGCATTAACTTTACTGTATCAATCTCAGCATTACTTATTAATTGTATAAGTGCATGCACATTGCTTATCTATTTAACCCTGTCATGAATAGCAGGATCCTCAGATCCTAACAATTTACAACGGGTTATGAATTAAAATGTGTCAGAATAAGACAATGTTTATTTAAGTGCCACTGCTGCAGAGATTATAATAGCTGGCTCACAAAATTATAATAAAAATGATGGCAAAGTATTTTAAAAGTGCACTAACAAATATCTTAAGAGTGCAGGTAAGTACAATCAATTAGTTATCAAAGGATGAGAGAGATTAAAAATGTGGATTTTCAATACTCCAGAATTCCAATTTTAACACACACAAATCATGAAATGGACAAGATAAACAATAACTGTACTATGTATATAACTTTCTTTTGAGTTCAGTGATGGATAAATAAGTCTGTTTGGGACAAAAAAATCTTTTGACTTCTCAATTGCCTTTATTTACAGTATTTGCAAACAAGCTGTAATCTATGAAGATAGCTTTCACTCCATGTTTTACAAGTACTTTAAAATCTGAATGCCAAAGTTTTATCAGAAAGCCTTTTTCAGTGGAATTAAAACAAAGGAAAACGAACAATGTTCTATTTAAGGCATAGGGAGTCTCTGAAAGCCACCTCTCCGTTAACCCTTACAGCAACCGACCTACCAGCAGCACCAGCCTTTTCCCTCCGGAATTTCCGCGGCAGCTCGGCGGACCACCAGGTTCAGCCAACGCCGGCCTTCTCAAGGGCGTCCACCGAGGGATCCCTTCACGGTTTCGCCACCACAAGCCCAGGCTGCTCATCCATCCGGACAAACGCGGCTCGCACCCTACGGCGTCCTAACAATGAGAAATCCTGCGACGCTCTCAGTTCAAGCCCAAGCGACTCATATTCTCTTCTCTTGGTAATTAGAAATACTGAAGCCAACCCAGACCCAACACCAAGCATCTTCCGCTACCTCCCCTCCCCGCAGCTCCGCATTGGTCTCCCGGGAGCTCGTCACGTGGGGAATCAAAGAAGCGGCAGAACGTCGCGACGCGGCCCATTTTCCCCATTGAAACCAGTTACCAGGAATGGGGGGGGGAGGAGGAGGAGAAGAGGAGAAACAAAAGACAAGAAGGTCATGAAGCGCCGGCTAGGACTAGGCATCCCTCTGTCGCCCCACACGCCAGCATCTCTTTGTTACTGTAGTGACTTCCCATCTGTAATCGCTTTGCAAAGTCCACCCTCCCTTTTTTTTTGCAATCAATGAATCAATCAAAGCCCTTTGCTTTCTTTTCATCTAGAACTACGCACTAGGGGGAGGGGAGGTATCACTCTCTCGCAAAGACTCCCAAACTTGTTCGGCTTTTCGCTTTACTGAGCAGCGAGGCGATGGCCTTTTCCCTCCAAGCTGAGCTCTACTTACCCTGCCCGACTTCGTGGCAGCCATCCCAGGGATGCGCGAGGCACCGAGAGGAGCCAGGGCGTCTCGGGAAACTGCAGCGGTTTTATTCCGGCGTTGACCTCATTGGGCCTGGAAAGAGCAAGGGGCGGTGGGAAGAAGCGAGGGAGGGAGGGGAGAGTAGCGAAGCCAGATGAAAAGCGCAATGCTGGGCCACGCCTAGGCAGGCCTCGGGGCTCTGGCCGGAATTGGATTACGGCCCTCCGTGGCAGGAAGGAAGCGGAGGTGCGGGCTGTTGTGCCATCGAAATTCAATTCGGGAAGCGATCGATCCTGATCAAATATTTATTTTCCTTTGAACGGCGTCGACCCTCCAATACTGCGTAAGGTGCTTCCTGATGCAACGCGATCGCTATGGGGCTCTCTTTTGTTCTGGGACTTTCGCTAAGTCAGTGGTTCTTAACCTTTTTGAATGAATCGCTCCCTTGAGCCAATGAGGAAGTTGTCATCGCCCCCCTCCCCCAACATAACCTCTCAATCACAACATAGGAAATAATTCTTCAATTTATCCAAACACTTTTTTAGTTTTCTTTAAAATTGTCATCAGGACATATCGATGCAAATAATTTATTGCCAGTCTTTTTCCCATATCTCAACTGTGTGAAAAATTTTGCTGCCACCCGTCACTTTATTCCCAAACTTCGTGATACATGTATTTCATTTATTGTCTTATTTATTCAAGACACTTAAATGTAATGACCACTGAAAACAAAATTCAATTGCAAGAAAGTGAAATGCCCGAAAAGAAAAACAGTAACATTTAATGATTGAATTATAGATGAAATTTAAGATGCAAAAAGAAATATAAAAAGGGCATAAGAACAAACTGCAATGCAGGAACTAAGAATTTCAAGACAAAAACTCTGAAACTAAATTAAGATTCGAGGAAAGTATATATAGTCACACACACTGTAAAAAGGATTAAAAAGACACAAAGAAAATATAATATCGAACCGGAGTGCATGCTAAAAAAGTACAATACAAAGAGATACACAAAATGTTTTACAGAGCCACTCACCATGCGATGTTTCAAAAGAAGTGCTCCCCCTCCATCACTGCCCATTCTAATCAATGGCGCGCCACTTGTATGGGTAGAGGCTGTTGCGCAATGCGCAGGAAGAGCACCTGACCAGCCTAGATGAGTTCAAATCGCCAGGAACTGGCAGATGTGATATCGGAACCACTGAACTATATTTTTCAAAGATCCTGGAACACGGGAACTACCAGAGGACTGGAAAAGAGCTGATGTAGTTCCCATCCTCAAAAAAGGGAAAAAAATGGATCCAGGAAATTACAGACCTATCAGCCTGACCTCAATACCTGGGAAGATCCTGGAAAAGATAATCAAACAACAAATCAACAAACACCTAGAGGTAAACAAAGTCATTACTAAAAGCCAACATGGGTTTGTCAAAAATAGATCATGCCAGACAAATCTTATTGCATTCTTTGACCAAGTGACAAAATTAGTGGATCAGAGGAATGCTATGGACATAATTTACTTGGACTTCAGTAAGGCATTTGATAAAGTAGATCACAATCTACTACTTGATAAGATAGAAAAATGTGGGGTGGACAGAATCACCACCAGATGGATCCGTAGCTGGCTGACCGGCCGTACTCAGCGAGTGGTCATCAAAGGAACTGCATCTATACGGAGGGAAGTGTGTAGTGGGGTGCCCCAGGGCTCTGTTCTGGGCCCAGTGCTCTTCAACATCTTCATCAATGATTTGGATGAAGGGATAGATGGGGAACTCATCAAATTTGCAGATGACACCAAGCTGGCAGGAATAGCCAACACTCCAGAAGACAGGCTTAAGATACAGAAGGATCTGGACAGACTTGAACACTGGGCACTAACTAACAAAATGAAATTCAATGGTGAAAAAAGCAAGGTTCTACATTTAGGCAAGAAAAACCAAATGCACAAGTACAGCATAGGTGGCACCATGCTCAATAGTAGTAATTGTGAGAAGGACCTCGGAGTCCTAGTAGACAATCACCTAAATATGAGCCAGCAGTGTGCTGCAGCTGCCAAAAAGGCCAACACAGTGCTCGGCTGCATTAACAGAGGGATAAATCAAGATCACGTGAAGTATTAATACCACTCTTCAATGCCTTGGTAAGGCCACACTTGGAATACTGCATCCGGTTTTGGTCACCACGATGTAAAAAAGATGTTGAGACTCTAGAGTACAGAGAAGAGCAACAAAGATGATTAGGGGACTGGAGGCTAAAACATATAAGGAACGGTTGCTAGAATTGGGTATGTCTAGTTTAACGAAGAGAAGGACAAGGAAAGACATGATAGCAGCATTCCAATATCTCAGGGGCTGCCATAAAGAAGAGGGAATTAAGCTATTTTCCAAAGCACCTGAAGGCAGGACAAGAAGCAACGGTGAGAGAAGCAACCTAGAACTAAGGAGAAACTTCCTGACAGTGAGAACAATTAATCAGTGGTACAGCCTGCCTCCAGAAGCAGTAAGTACTCCAACATTGGAAGTTTTTAAGAAAAGACTGGACAGCCATTTGTCCGAAATGATGTAGGGTTTCCTGCCTGAGCAGGGGGTTGGACTAGATGACTTCCAAGGTCCCTTCCAACTTTACTACTATTACTATAAGTGATGCGTATTCACATATGTACGGAGTTCTGTACTGAAGCTAGCTGGAGGAATATTTGAAAACAATTCAATCCATTAATAGCGAGCAATCTGATGTTTTTGTACGACAGATATAGAGCGATTCACTGTACGAAAAAGTCTCAAAAGTGTCCCCAAAACTTCTCGCTCCATTGCCCCCATATTGCCCCCTTTTTGTTCCTTCGCCCCCGTGTCGCCCCTTTTCGTTCCATCACCCCCCTGAAAAATGAAATCACCCCCTGGGGGGGTGATATTGCCCAGGTTAAGAACCACTGGATTAAACTACCCATCCAACAGACAAATCAGCAGAGACGGATCAAGTTGCAGAAAGGACCTAATAAAAGACAGACTGAAACAGAATAACAACACCGCTGGTTATCAAACCACTTAGACATATTATTCATTAGTTGTGGCTAACACTGGATAATGATACTACATTTTCTCAAACACTGGGTGGTAGACTTTTTCTTACATCTAGGCAACAAATCAATCTGAAGCAGATTCTCACAAGCAGTAACAACAGAACAAGGATGCAAATGTTGGCAGATTCTGGAATAAATCCAATTGTCTACTTTGCCTCCTCATCCACATCAATGCATCATCACAGCCCCCCCTCACATGTACATACTTAGAGATATCTGCACATGCTTTCCCCTCAATGTGACATATCCCATTGTCTTTCATCAACCTCCCCTCCCAGATTCTATATAAAACAAATTTTATGCATAAGAATCAATGAACATAATGTTGACATCGTAACTGAAAACAAGAATGTCACCGTTTTGGAGCATGTCAACCTTCAAGGACCTTCCATGGCAGAGTTCAAACTGACCATTTTAAAAAAGAAAAACTTTCATTGCCCCATTGACTGGCAAATTGTTGACTCTACATACATCACAATATTTCAGGCAATCTCAGAGTTTTAAGCACATTACAAGTATTGAGTTTTAAACAAACACATTACAAGTATTAATCAGTAAGGTGCTTGTTGGGGGTGTGATGGTTCAGAGGTTAAAGATGGTGAGCTTTTCAGCAGGAAAGCTGACAGCCAGGGTTTGAGACCTGAGCACTGCATGATCAGGTGAGGTCCTGTTAATTGCCCTAGTTACTGCTAACCTAGCAGTTCAAAAGCATGCAAATGCAAGTAGATAAATAGGTACCACTTTGATGGGGAGGTGATAGTGTTCCATGCACCTTGGCATATAGTCATGCTGGCCACATGACACAGAAGCATCTTCAGACAATGCTGGCTTCCTCAGGTAAGAAATGGAGATGAGCACCACCTCCTAAAGTCAGACAAAACTGGACACGGAAAACCTTTAGCTTTCTTTATTTTAAGATACTTGTAATCTAAAGAACCAGTTTGGTGTAGTAGTGAAGGCACCAAGTTAAAAACCAGGGGACTTTCTGCCTGAGGAACAAAGCCAGCTGGGTGACCTTGGATCAGTCCCTCTGCCAAATCTAGGAAGATGATGTTGGCAAACAACCTCTGAAATCTTGCTAAGAATATTGCAAGGATTTGTTCAGGAGTCAAAAACAGACTTGAAGCCCCCCCTCCCAATATAAAAACCCCAAACAAAACCCTGCCTCACATGAAAACTGATTATGCATACCTATTTTCACCTCTCTTCCCCCGCACCTTCACCCAATTTAAATTCTTCATCAGACTAGCCATTCTATGCATCTGATCAAGCAAGCTGCATGTCATGAAAGCTTTTAATCAAATTTGTTAGCTAGAAAAGGTACTACCAGACTTTTGATTTTTTGCTACCATGGATTCCCATAAGATTGGTTTGACATGATCTGTTTTTAACAATCCTGTGCTGGCTACTAGTTATAACTTTGTTTCCAGATGTTCTCAGATC